GAAGACATCTAGAAGCAGAGCAGTTGTTTCCCATTTCATCCCACAGCAGTGTTGCTACCTTTGTAACTTTGTGGAGGTTTTGACAGATTTGATGTTTTGTTTGTTTGTTTGTTTTTTGTTAACATTTCAGCTAGAATCATAGAATCATTTAGATTGGAAGGGACCCTTAAGATCATCAAGTATGACCATGAACCTAACAGTCCCAAGCCCACCATGAAACCATGTCCCTAAACACCCTGTCCTCTTAAATACCCCCACGGATGGCAACTCCAGCACTTTTCTGGGCAGCCCATTCCAATGGCCACTCACTACTTCTTCCTAATATCCAAGTAAAACCACACCTTGTGCAACTAGAGGCTGTTTCGTGCTGTCCTATTGCTCCTACTTCAGTTTGCATGATGATCCGAAACTCATTGCTTTCATTAGGAAAATAAAATGTGTCTCTGCTCAAAATAAGACTTCAAATCAAGAAGACAAGTGCAAATTTTGAGGTTTCTAATGTAGCAGATGTTGAATGTCCATGGACCAAGGTGGTCTGACTAATATTTTTGAATGTCTCTGTTAAGAATTACTTGAGTTCATTGACCTTAGCAACCCTGAACTCAACTTTTACTAGTTTATATATAATCAGTTATGTTTTTTTTTTGTTTGTTTTGTTTTGTTTTGTTTTATTTTTTGTTTTCTGTTGGTCTTGTGAGGACGAAGACTTAAAGAAATATATCTTCAGCTTTGGACTGGAGGATGACTCGCAGTGCAGGCACACCTGCAAAAACACAGTGGAAAAATTAGAATTTGGCCCATGTTAAAACACCCATTGTCAAGGAGTAGGTACACTGTCAACAATGAGCCGAGCTAGTGTAGAGCTTGTTCACTATGTATATCCAAGTTGTGGGGGCTCAACAAAGGTAAAAATCAGCTCCTTGCCTTTTCTGGAGGCGGTGAAAATTTCTAGCTTACCTGTACAGATAATGCTTGTATGCAGTGGCAAATGTCTGGTATGTGTTACAAATTTTAAAACTCCCCTGGCCAGTAATGTGTAAACATACCTTTGATGCCAAAATAAATAAGTAAATACAGAGAAAGGAATGTCAGCGATATTTATGAATCCAGGGAAATCCAGGTGTGAGTTGTGTAGGTGACTATACAAAATCAGCGTTACAAATTTTCCGAGCAAGTACAGTACAAATATGATGGCAGCTGTTCTTCATTCTCAACCTATAGTTTTAGTTAGAGAGAGAAATTTTTAAGGTTATAAAAATAAACAACTTTCTGACAGTCATGTTGGAAAGTATTAAATGAATGCCACTGGTTTAGAGACTTTTTTTTGAATGTCTCCACACCCGGAATAAAAATTAAGAATTTGTGGGTGATTTTCACAATTATGTATATGAGAGAAGATAGATGCTTTGTTCCTAGAAGAGAGATAATATGATCTCTCATAGGATGATTTTTCATCTTATGAAAAAAATAATGGAGGAAAAGGCAAATGTAATTTGGAAAAGTATCAGAGATGCAACTTCTGACATTGTCCTTTCCCTTCCCTTCCCTTCCCTTCCCTTCCCTTCCCTTCCCTTCCCTTCCCTTCCCTTCCCTTCCCTTCCCTTCCCTTCCCTTCCCTTCCCTTCCCTTCCCTTCCCTTCCCTTCCCTTCCCTTCCCTTCCCTTCCCTTCCCTTCCCTTCCCTTCCCTTCCCTTCCCTTCCCTTCCCTTCCCTTCCCTTCCCTTCCCTTCCCTTCCCTTCCCTTCCCTTCCCTTCCCTTCCCTTCCCTTTCTCTTCCCTTTCTCTTTCCTTTCCTTTTATTTTTGTGGAAATGCTAAGGTTTAAAAGATATTTCGGTAAATTTGCTGATTCCAAGCAGAATCACAGCAGTGATACAAGATTTGGATCCATTTTCTAAACATGTGCTTAGAAATGCTTTTAAATAGATCTGTTTGACTCTAGGACTTCATTGCAGTCCATAATTCGTGAGGTCCAGAGGAAAAATGTGACTCTTGTCACACTTGTCAGTCAATGTGAGTATGGATTCTGCCCTAGTACAGAAATTCAAGATTACCATTTAAAAGACCAAATACAAATTAATTGCTCTCTTACTGTAAGGAAGGTGTGAAGGTTAGGAAGTGAGGTGGTAATGAAGCCGTCTAATCCAACGGTGCAGTTAGGGTGCTGAGTAGGCACAGAGATACCAGAGGGGAAAGAAAGAAGTTGGAAGTGGAGATGAAATAATCCTAGTGATTATTACATCTGGGTAAGATCTGCATGAATGCTAAGTGCTGCGTGATGGAGAAACAATTTTCGTGGCTTGAACTTACATTATAACATCCTCTGGAAGGCAATTGCTTACCAGTATCTCCAGAGGGAGCATTTAGATACCGGGTTGCCATGGCAGCTGACGAAGGCTTCCCTGCTTTAACATAGTCTGAGGCTTCAAATAGGACCGTGCATCTTTGATTCTCCATCGTCTGCATTAATTGCCTGTGTGTTGCTTCTCTGAGTGGAGCTGCAGCTGTGGCTGCTTAACCATATACCATAACCATATACCATGTATGTATTCTGTGTATGAGGTTATGTTGCACTTCTGTGAGCTGACCTACCATAGATGCTGGACCAAATTCCTGTCCTCGGCCAAGTGGCAGAAGTGGTCCAGCCTTACATTGCAATTCAGATCAGGTTTGGTAGAAATGTTCTCAGGGAGGAGAGCATGGTGTCACTGTGTGGCAAAACATTGTATAAGAAATGGGAGTAACAACAGCACTAGTCACATTTTTGGATGAGCTTAGCATCCAGATGTGGTTGGTTTCATCCCTTTTTAGCAATGTGGACAATATAAAGTATATAAATAAATTTCATCTTCCTCTTGCTAGTGATGGAGAGTGACAGGTGAGCTGGGGACAGCACTGAAACATCTGAAAGATGTGCAGGGTTAAACTTCTCAGGAAGAGACCTTACCTACAGGACAGTTGTGTGACAGATTTTTTCAGATTTCCTGACAGGCTCTGTGCATGCTTTATGGTTACTGGAGTATTGAGCAGAGAGAAGCCTCTCGCCCAGCCTCTGGCTCTTGGCCAGAAAAGAGATTGTGGTTTGTAAGGAATTTCCCGCAGCAATTCTTAATTTCTGAGGAGCAAGCCCCAGCCTCGTGCCTGATACTTGTCCACCAGTATTCATCTCCATTTTAATAAGCTTTTTTTTTTTTTTCTCTTCTGCCACCTTATCTGTCCTTGTATCGCTGTGTCTGAGAGCTCTCTCTCTGCAGCACCCAGCCTTTGGCAGCAGTTACCTGTGCAAACATCCACTTGAGTCTAGCCAACTCTCCTTTCACAGGCTTCTCTGTTCAGCTCCTGGGAATAATCTTGCTCTGTTCCCAGCTGTACTGATATGTTTATTCATTAGATTTTCATGAAGAAAGTCAAATCTCATACTGCTTAATCAGTGTCGGTCACTGACTATTATTAATTGATTAGTCTGTATCAGTTAGTGTGATAAGTCAGCAGAAGCCTTACCTGATAGCAGCTTTCAGATTACATATTAATTCTGTAAATTATTAATAAATACTATTGGTCTTGTCCTGGCTGATCAAATATTTATCTTTTCTTAAAAGCAACGTTTTTACTTCTTTCTTTGCTTAGTAAGCTATATTATTTAGGAGTTTTGCTGTCTATTTTTCCTTCTAGAACCAATCTCTTCTCAAAAGTTGGTGGGAGATCTTTCCCATGTTTTCACACCATGACTATTTTTACTGTACGTTGTTCTTCCTCGGCAGCCTCAAATATTTGTGAGGGTCGTCAAGACTACTGATTCAGCCAGATGTTTTTATAATATAATTTCCTCAATAAGGAAATATGGAAAGACCTTGATATCAGTGTCATTATTGATTTTCTCTACTTACTAGGACTTCTGTGAAAACCTAAGATAAATAAGTTCATGAAGCTGGAAATAAAAGCAGGATAAAGTAATATTTTAATGGAAACATCTACTGCCTTTATTTATTTTTTTCCCCAGAAAATGCTAAAGTCCTTTAAAAAGATAGGTGTAAAACATTGTCTCTCTTTACAGGTGGGGAAGCGAAGAGCTTAAGTGATTTAACCAGCTTAGCTTAGTTGGTTCACTGCAAGTGCTGGGAACAGGACCTGGGTCTCCTGGTCCCAAGCCACTGTCTGACCACCAGGATGTTCTCTAGCACCTTTAGTAGCTCTCATTAATACTCAGTCTATCTAGGGTTGCTATATAAAGGATGTATCATCATCATGCCATTTCATTCAGTCGTGCCATGCTAGCTTTGCCCATCTGTTTTTCCTGCCAGTGCTTTTGCTGTTTCTTCCGTGGCTGCCTTCTGCTTAGAACAATCTCCTTTGACTCCACTTTTCCCTCCACCTCCTCAAAAACTACATGTACTAGGACATCAAGAGGAAACCAATCGCCTTCTGATGGTGACGAAGCAGAGACCCAGAAGGGATAAATAAATTATGCTGTGTGAGTGTGGCTTCTAGCCTGGTCTATGCTCAACTTTATTCAACGTATCCTACCAGTGAAAGAGGACCACACTACCTTTCAGAATGTATCTCTTGCTGTCCCACCAGAAATTCATCTACATGTGACCAAAATGAGAACCTTGGTTGATACAAATCTCTGTGTTTTTTTTTTGTTTGTTTTGTTTTGTTTTGTTTTGTTTTGTTTTGTGATAAAGTGGAAGACAGAAGTGATCTTAAGGAGCTGAGAGATGGCAAGTTGCATTCCCTCCATGTTATACATCCTGTGTAGTTCCCATCATTCCCATAGTGTCTCGACTCAGCTTCTGGAGGGCCTGACTGATATTTTCTCTACAATTGTAAGGATTTATGCCATCAAAACTAAAATGAGATGTTCCCTCCTGTATTTCCTTTGCTTCTTTTTTTGGTGTCTCAGCATCAGGAATAACAAGATGAAAGAAAAATGTGTGGAGAAAATGGATGAGGAGTGAAACCAGTTCCTAGCCCTATTTTTAATTGTTTCTTTTCTTTCAGGTCTCTCGGCAGCCAAACTGCTGACTGAGTCAGGCTTGAATGTGGTGCTGCTGGAAGCCAATGACAGGGTTGGGGGAAGAACTTTCACCGTAAGGGTAATTATCTCCAAACCCATTTGTACTCTATTCATACACACATAGTGTACTCTATACACATGTATAATGAAAAATTATGCACACGTATGATATATATCTGTATATTATAGATATGCTATGTGAATAGTGTATATAAGAGGCAAATCCTAATGGCGCAGGAGCGGTCTGTCCCCATGTGCCCAAAGATGAGCCAGCGGGGAAGAAGACCAGCCTGGCTCAACAGAGAATTGTGGCTTGAGCTTAGGAGGAAAAAGAGGGTTTATAATCTTTGGAAAGTTGGGCAGGCCACTAAGGAGGACTATAAGGATGTAGCGAGGCTGTGCAGGGACAAGATTAGGAAGGCCAAAGCTCATCTGGAGCTCAATCTGGCTACTGCTGTTAAAGATAACAAAAAACGCTTTTATAAATACATCAACACAAAAAGGAGGACTAGGGAGAATCTCCATCCTTTACTGGATGCGGGGGGAAACTTAGTTACAAGAGATGAGGAAAAGGCAGAGGTGCTTAATGCCTTCTTTGCCTCAGTCTTTAGTGGCAAAACCGGTTGCTCTCTGGATACCCAGTACCCAGAACTGGTGGAAGGGGACGGGGAGCAGGATGTGGCCCTCACCATCCACGAAGAACTGGTTGGTGACCTGCTACGGCACTTGGATGTGCACAAATCGATGGGGCCGGATGGGATCCACCCAAGGGTACTGAGAGAACTGGCAGAGGAGCTGGCCAAGCCCCTGTCCATCATTTATCAGCAGTCCTGGCTATCGGGGGAGGTCCCAGCTGACTGGCAACTAGCAAATGTGACGCCCATCTACAAGAAGGGCCGGAGGGCAGACCCGGGGAACTACAGGCCGGTCAGTTTGACCTCAGTACCAGGGAAGCTCATGGAGCAGATCCTCTTGGGAGTCATCATGCGGCACTTGAAGGGCAAGCAGGCGATCAGGCCCAGCCAGCATGGGTTTATGGAAGGCAGGTCCTGCTTGACGAACCTGATCTCCTTCTACGACAAAGTGACGCGCTGGGTGGATGAGGGAAAGGCTGTGGATGTGGTCTACCTTGACTTCAGCAAGGCTTTTGACACCGTCTCCCACAGCATTCTCCTCAAGAAACTGGCTGCTCTTGGCTTGGACTGGCGCACGCTTCGTTGGGTTAGAAACTGTCTGGATAGCTGGGCCCAAAGAATTGTGGTGAATGGAGCCAAGTCCAGTTGGAGGCCAGTCACTAGTGGCGTCCCCCAGGGCTCGGTGCTGGGGCCGGTCCTTTAACATCTTCATCAATGATCTGGATGATGGCATTGAGTGCACCCTCAGTAAGTTTGCAGATGACACCAAGCTAGGTGCGTGTGTCAATCTGCTCGAGGGTAGGAAGGCTCTGCAGGAGGATCTGGATAGGCTGCACCGATGGGCTGAGGTCAACTGTATGAAGTTCAACAAGGCCAAGTGCCGGGTCCTGCACCTGGGGCGCAATAACCCCAAGCAGAACTACAGGCTGGGAGAGGAATGGTTGGAGAGCTGCCAGGCAGAGAAGGACCTGGGAGTGATGGTGGACAGTCGGCTGAATATGAGCCAGCAGTGTGCTCAGGTGGCCAAGAAGGCCAACGGCATCCTGGCTTGTATCAGAAACAGTGTGACCAGCAGGGCTAGGGAGGTGATCGTCCCCCTGTACTCGGCTCTGGTGAGGCCGCACCTCGAGTACTGTGTTCAGTTTTGGGCCCCTCGCTACAAGAAGGACATCGAGGTGCTTGAGCGGGTCCAAAGAAGGGCGACGAAGCTGGTGAGGGGCCTGGAGAGCAAGTCCTATGAGGAGCGGCTGAAGGAGCTGGGCCTGTTCAGCCTAGAGAAGAGGAGGCTCAGGGGTGACCTTATTGCTCTGTATAAGTACATTAAAGGAGGCTGTAGAGAGGTGGGGGTTGGCCTGTTTTCCCATGTGCCTGGTGACAGGACGAGGGGGAATGGGCTAAAGTTACGCCAGGGGAGTTTTAGGTTAGATGTTAGGAAGAATTTCTTTACTGAAAGGGTTGTGAGGCACTGGAACGGGCTGCCCAGGGAGGTGGTGGAGTCACCATCCCTGGAAGTCTTCAAAAGACGTTTAGATGTAGAGCTTAGGGATATGGTTTAGTGGGGACTGTTAGTGTTAGGTTAGAGGTTGGACTCGATGATCTTGAGGTCTCTTCCAACCTAGAAATTCTGTGATTCTGTGATATAATTTTATTCATTTATTTATTTAACTTCCCTGCTAGTGGTCCTACTTAAGGGAAAATTGCCAGAGCACTAGCAGGTGGGAAATTTCCTGATACTGTACAAGCAAGAGTAGAAAAAGAGAAGCAGAGTGATGGGACAGACTGTTTCCACATGATCTGCAGGCTCTGGATTCATCACTCTGTTCCTCTGGGAAGGAGAACATGATTAGCTAAGTTTCAGAATCCTCTCCCAGGGAGAGATTCAGGTGAAATCCTTATGAAAAGACACCTTTAAAGCCAACTGTGCCATGAAGATACTCAAGCTGAACTGTAACACACCCTGTGAAGAGCAATGTTGGTTAAAGGAATGGCAGAGGTAGCTGGTGATTAGAACCAATCTGTCTCCTTCACTCCTTTACCGTGTGCCCTACCTGGACCCAGGAGATCCCTTCCCACTCTGCTTGCCAGAAAGCCTCAGCTTTGCTGTTCCCCAGTATAGTCTGTTTGAACTAGTCGCTGGTGAGACCAAGGAAGAACTGCACAAACCTCTCTCACTCTTTCTTTGTCTGCCTGCCAGGGTCTTCTCATTTTTGTTGCATAGCCCAATTCTACATTACAGTCTTACAACAGCTGGTTATGAGCTCCATATCTGAGATTCTTGGTAATTGCCACTCCTGAACCCTTAACAAGAAAATGGAGTTTTCCATGGGGAGAGGAATCTTTGCCAAATTGCTCTAGGAATGTTTCCATTGAGTAATTCTTCTGGATTGCTCTTTTAATTTGTCTGGTATTTGCAAAAGGCTTACTTTTCTAATCTTTTTTTTTTTTTTTTTTTTCTTTTGTGTGTTGTGTGTGATAAACTAGAATAAGCAAGTTAAATACGTGGACCTTGGAGGAGCCTATGTGGGGCCAACACAGAATCGTCTCCTGCGGTTGTCTAAGGAGTTGGGAATAGAGACATATAAAGTGAATGAAGTTGAGCACCTGATACACCATGTCAAGGTAAGATGCTCTCAAGCCTGCTGCTGTAGACAGACAAGTTGTAGTGATCCCCTTTCTCATCATTTACCAGCTGTGCTACATTGGAGTATACCAGTTTCAGTATGCATCTTCTGAGTTTCTTGGAGAAAAATAAGTGTGCTGGTAAGGAAGAACTCCTACAAATTACTATATTCATGCACATCTGGATGTATATGCGTCCTGGTAACTGATGTTTTGGTTCAAGTCTGAGCTATTAGTTAAAAGCTATCAAAAATCTTCAGTGTTTCTGAACAGTACAACTGTGACTGTTGTGTACATGCCAGCTTTCATATAACGTGCACAAGGTATCTGAAAGGTCCTTTCACAAGTCAGGGAAATGAGCGTATCTGGAATCAGGCTGAAAGTTTCTGAGGGTAGGCTTTCTAAATCAAGGGCAGCTATTATCCTGACTGAAATAAACATGTCAGGATAAATCTGTTTTGTGGATGGGGAAACTAAAGTGCAGAGTAGCAAAAGGCATTGCAATTGGAATAGTGAATGTCTCTGGCAATCCGATGTTCTTGTGTGGGCAGATCCAAACAGTCTGGGACAGGAAGCTTCAGTAAGGCTGATAAAAAGCCTACATTTTCTTAGTCTTCATCCTATGTGTTATCCAGAAGTGTATTCTTCCTCCTTTTCTGATACAGAGCAGTGTTGCACTTCCATAGAAAAGATACTTTCTATGTTAGTTCTGAGGAAGTTAACATTGAGTTTCATTATATCCTTATGAAAAGACATTGTGCAATGACTGGCAAAATATTTGTCAGATGGTAGTTGGTATTTGATCAAAGGTTAAGGAAAATGTTGACATATTTAAACTGACAGTGATAGAGAAAAGGTGTTTTACCACCTGTTTTCAAGAACTTTTCCCTCTCAGTTTTTATAAAAAAAAAAAAAAAAAAAAAAAAAAAAAAAGTATGTTCTCAAAGCACTTTGGTACAATGACTACCAAAAATTACTCCTGGTGTGGTAGAACTGATGGGTGCATCCTCACTGTTCTGTTACGTGTGCTTCTGGTATCATCCTCAAAGACAATTTTTCTGCTTGTTCACACTATTTAGCCTTCAGAGTCTCCTCCAGCAGGAGGTTGTGCCATGAAGGGAAAATTAATGATAGAAGACAACTGACATGGCCAGTTTGGATGACCATCTCTTAGGACAACCTTGCTGTCCTAGCATGGGGTTTTCCAAAATACTACCAGAAGTCAGAGAATCACCAAATCACCTGAGTTGGAAAGGACCCAGAAGGATCATTGAGTCCAAGGATCATTGGCTCCACATAGGACCACCCAAAAATCAAATCCTGTCTGAGAGCATTGTCCAAATACTTCTTGAACTGCGGCAGGCTTGGTGCTGTGACAACTTCCCTGGGGAGCCTGTCCAGGTGCCAGACCACCTTCTTGGTGAAGAACCTTTTCCTAGCACCCAGTGTGACCCTCCCCTGTCCCAGCTCCATGCCATAAGTCACTGAAGCATACTTGATACTGACAACTCTGAAGCTGACTTGCGGGCCTCATCTGTTGTCAGCAGCAAGCACAAGCATGGCTGCTAGTTTTGTAATTCAGACCCCATTTCCTCTTTGGGTCTCCAGGAAGTAGGTTTTTAGGAGGGATACTGGTATTAGCATGCTGGTTGAAATGATCTTGTTTTCCAACAGGCTTTTAGAGTGAGGAAACAGAGAATGGCACAAAAGTAGAAGTTTGGGCTCTTGTCAAGGATAATCTGTCTTTCCCTTGATCACAATTGTCTTATTACATGAATTGCCAGAGGCAGGTCAGGTTGTGCATAGCCTTTTGCCATCATCTGTGGACACCTTTTAGCCTAGGGCTGGGAGTTCTGGAGTGAGTCAAGGCTCTCAGCCTTCCTCTCTACCCAGCACTGACAGAACTTGCTGGCATTGGGGGATATATCCAGGCTGGCAGAGGAGGATATGCCTTCGATTTTTCTGTGTGTTGGGCAGAGGAAGGGCTTTGCACTGCTGCACTGAGACTTAACCCCAGCTGAAGACTGAGTCAGCAGTGTCCTTACAGGCCTTAGGACTCAAGTCAAGAGAACCTATGCATCAGTACAAATCCTGTCTGGAAATCCAGAGTTGAGAGAAGACACTGCTCCAGGAGGCATTAAAGTCATCCAAGCCTGGGGTATGGGATGTTTGTCATTTTGACTGATGCCTGCATCTGTGAGTTATAGCTGCAAGCAGTTTCTGGAGGATGTATGAGGAGGGCCTGAACTCACACAGACACCCATGTGCTTGTGCTGAGACCTGCAGGTAGATGCTGGTAGGACATGGGTGATGTCCTTAGGTATAACAGGGTGATGGGGCATCTGTGATAATTTGGTATAGGCAAGTAGCTTCACAGAGTCCTGGCAGGTATGTGTGAGCTTGGCACTGTGGCTTACACAGACACAAGAAAACCTTCAAGGTTTCCATTCCAACTTGGGCTTGGATCAAGGTCTACCTCACAGTTAGGCAGGTTTCTTGAAACTGTGCCCAGTCAAGTACTGAAAATCTCCAAGGAGAGACGTCTCACCTTTTGGTGGTGGCTGCTTGTGGGAGAACTCCTGAGGGGAGGCAAGAGAGAAGTGGTCAGAAAGAGGAGTGTGTGCCAAGACTCCCTGGTAGCCAAGAAGGAGTGAAAGAGGACATACTACACAGTCAGTAGCTACTCATTGGAATCTCCTAATTCCATTCATTTTTAATCTATTTCATTTTTGCTACTATGTTTACACAACTGTGGGGAAAGTATTATAATAGTTAAAGAATTGCAGTTAAAGAATTAGAAGACAAACACTATACAGTAAATATATGCATCGCATCATTGTGTGGCCAAATGAGCGTAATAACCTTCAAACATCTGCATTTCATGTTACTGTAATCCATTCCTTGCAGGTCTTTCACTTTCAGCCATGTGGCCTGCCCTTGCTTTCCCTGCAGATGGACAGTACTCTTGTGTGCTCCCTGAAATCCTAACGATACTCTTAAGTCATACCTTATAAAACAGATTCCAAAATATATAATGGTCTGTCACTCCAGCATGCATTTGAATTCACCTGCTGACCCAAGCTTTATGACTAGGGTCAAATTTAATTAAATTCTGAACCAAAAAAAATCTCTCTGAATCCAAAAAGGCAATGAAACCTAAAGGTATTAATTCTTCTCTAACTACACTATCAGGCAACACAGTGCATCTTGTAAAATCAGCTGCTGTTTTTACATATACCCCGAGGCAAAATCAAGCCTTTCATAGTTAATTAAATTCATTTTAGAGGCTTTTTAATACAAGTAATATATGCAGCTTCTTTGTACTACAAAATGAAAAGAGTGCATTTTGTTGATCTCTGGGAGGGTCTCTGCTAATTAGGCTTTACCAACTTGATTAGGTTGTGAATTTTCTTCCCCTTTAATCCTTTTTAATGCCAGGTTCTATTGCTAGAATATTTTTGGCCTTGCTTATGTTGTGTTTGATATCTTCACAGAAACTCAAAATTATATTTCTTGACTTTTTTTTTTTTTTTTTTTTCATTCCCTCCACTGGTTAAATGGCCTTTTTCATGGTCTTTGAAAGGAGATTAGTATGTTCTTTTCATTTGTGTAAGTGCTGGTTCATCAGCCTCGGTGAGAAAATTAGGATAGCTCTGCAAGTTGTATTTGGTAGGCAAATTGCTGTCTGAACACCATTGCTTTTTAATAGCATAACTGAAGTTAAATTTGTAAATCCAGATTAAAGAAGAAAAAGCAGAAGTATCTGAGTTGTCAGCATCTCCTAACAGTGATCTCACTGTACTGGTAAGCAGATATGAAATGCTCCTTAAATCAGATAATTTTTCCTTATCTACATAGGAGAGGATTCAAGGCCCTACCTTAGATAGGTAGATCTGCAGCTTTTGAGCACTGGCTTTTATTTCCCTCTCCAAAATGTCTTTGAAAAACAAACCAAACTTCATGCAGTCCAGGTAACTTTTACCTTTGCTATGTAAAAGTGTCTGGAAAGAGGTGTTAAAATATGAAAGCATATCAAATCATTGTATAGGTTTAATTAAGAACAGATTTACTTGGTTAATCCAAATTGCACTTCACTTTTGTGCAGTCCAAATAGCTATGCAAATTTACTGCATTTTAAAGCACAGACCTTGTGTTATCAAATGTGACACAGGTTCCTTTGCAAAGCAAGGTAACTATGGAAGTGGTTTGCTCTGCTACCATAACTCTGTGTACAGAAACATTTGTTTGTATGACTGGATTGCTGAATTAATCTTTTTAGAGCTTGATTCCTTTGTATACAGTAAGGTTGCTCTGCCTTTTGTCTTGCTGTGATGCTAGCTGAGCACACTCTGATCCCATTTTCACTGATGGAGAGCTTGCATGAAAACCCGGCAACACAGAAGGACGAGACTCCTCTTACTGCCTACATGAGACCAACAAAACCTCTTTCTCAAAATCTGATCATTAGTCTGTGGTAGATCTCCCACTGCCATTGATGCTCATTGTTGTTTTTTGTTTGTTTGTTTGTTTGTTTGTTTGTTTTTCCCAGATCTTTCTTCCACCAGAACAGTCCGTGGTGTAATACCATGATCTTTTCTGGAATTTCCCCAGGCAGCAGTGTTGTTAGAAAGTCTCTGTGTTTTCTCAGTGCAGGTAGTGCTAACAGCTAGCTAGGTGGCTAGTTATTTGGACAGTGCATTGCAGGTGGAACATTCATCATGTGATGATAATTGATATAAGCCCTGCTAGTTGTTTCCTTAGCATCGAAAGGCAGACGTAAATACTGTGTATGTCCAGGGAGATCTTTCAAGCCAAAATGCTGGGTGAAACATTAAACAACCCCTCTCTAGTCAGCAAACAGGATCTTGGCAGAGAGTTGCTGGTCCCTCATTACCACAGTTCAGTTTTCGTATGAGGATGGACTTTCCTCATGTTCCTTTGCCAGCAGCACTGGCTAGAGGTATCTGAATGCATGTCATGCCCTCTCCAAGGTTAGTGCA